CGACTCATTCCCCAAATCCCTATTGCTTGCAGTTTCCAGCAAAACTATCAGCACAGTCCAGTTCCTGGCAATCCGACGCCGCCGCTGACGCCTGCCTGCAGCGTGCCCTATGTCAGCCCCAATCCGGACATCAAGCCGCCAATGGATAGCAGTAAGTGCAAGCGTAGTTAGCCGTAGTCTACTGAAGCATCCACTAATCCCCATCTCTGTGCAGGCGAAGAGATGAGACTGACATTCCCGGTGCGCGATGGCATTATCTTGCCACCGTTCCGCCTGCTCCACAATCTCTCGGTGAGCAATCATGTGTTCCATCTGAAGCAGAATGTCTACAACACGCTGATGTGCCGGTAAGTATACATCGCAGCTCATCCGATCCTCGCCAGAAACCAATGTTAAACTGCCTCTCTCTCTCTTTAGCACCGACCTGGAGCTGCAGCTGAAATGCTTCCATCAGGACGATCGCCAGATGAACACCAATTGGCCACACACTGTCACCGTCTCCGCCAATGCCACGCCCCTAAATATCGAGCGCTCCGAGAAGAACAGCACGGCGCTGCGTCCGCTCTACTTGAAGGCCGTTTGCCAGCCAGGACGCAATACGCTGCAACTGACCGCCAGTTCCTGTTGTTGTGTAAGTAGCCAGGCGCGATGTGATCCATGGCATCCTCATCTAATTTTCCAAATCCTTCTTCCGGCAGTCCCATCTGTTTGTGCTGCAACTAGTCCATCGACCATCGGTGCGCCAGGTGCTGCAGACGCTGCACAAGCGCAATCTGTTGCCGCTGGAGCACAGCGTGCAGAAGATCAAGCGCAATCTGAGCCTGCCCAGCGTTGGTGCGGATGGCGTGGCCACTGGCAACAGTCCGGACGCCGCTCAGCAGTGCGCCAAGATCTCATTGAAGTGTCCCATCACAAAGAGTCGAATACGCTTGCCGGCGCGCGGTCACGAGTGCAAGCACGTCCAGTGCTTCGATCTGGAGGCTTATCTCATGATCAACAGCGAGCGCGGCTCGTGGCGCTGTCCGGAGTGCAGCAAGTCGGCCATCACTGATACTCTGGAGATCGATCAGTATATCTGGGCCATACTCAACACGCTGAGCACCTCCGACGTGGACGAGGTGATCATTGATTCGTCGGCCAATTGGCGCGCCTTGCAGCACAACGGCGGCATGCCGAATGCACCACAGTCGGGCGCACCGCCTGGCGGCACTGTGGCAACACCGACCGCTGGCAGCACCAACACCAACAACGGCAACAGCAGCAGCAGCAGCAGCAACAACAACAGCAGCAACACCAGCTTGCCGGTCATCAAACAGGAGCTGTGCGATGACATTGCCAAGGTCATGTCACCTGGCTCCACGCAGCTGCCCACCTGGGACAACTCGCAGGCCATGAGTCCCTACAACATGCACGACATGAATTCCATTGCCAATGGCAACATGATGGGCAACAACAACGCGGCCAACGGGGCCCAGCTGTAAGTACCCCAAGAGGAGGTCGGCTTCAAGCAGTCACTCACCTTGCCTTTCTCTCACCTTTGCAGTGGCAATCGCAGCAGCTATGATAGCTTCAATGGCAGCCACAGCGACAACAACAGCCTGGCCAACAGCGATGGCGTCAACTCTTTGGATCAGCTCAATGCCATGGAGAAATCGCTAAGTGATCAGGTGAGTTCATAGCCGAAGGAAACATCTGTTCATTTGGCTAATCCCCTCTCTCTCTGGATGTCTCTCTGCAGATGCCACACACGCCGCATACGCCGCACACACCTGGCGCTGCCAGCCATCCCATGACACCTGGCGGCCCGCCCAGCGTTAGCTCCTCCCACAATGAGCCCATTAGCGGCGGCACGCCCAATGCCTCCAACGGCGGCAACAACAACAACAACAACAGCACTGGACACAATTCACCACAGACGCCGGGCACGCCCAGCCGCAGTCTGGGCAGCAGCACCAGCATGTCCAACACGGACAGCCAGCAGCAGCAGCAGCAACAGCAGCAGCAACAGTCGCAGCAGGAGCAGCTGCTCAACTCCCTAATGAGCAGCCAGGCGCAGCTGAAGTTCGAGAACGATTTGAGCGCGGATCTGCAAAATTTTGATCCCACCGCCGCCGGACTCGATAACAATGGCCACGATTTGAATGTAAGTAGCGAGTAGAAGCAATTAACGAGTTAAGGGAAGGGGCAAGGCGGCGAAGATTGTAAAGCAATGAAGGCACTGAGCTGGCAGCGAGTGCTGAGCTAGGGGTGTGAAGTAGCGACGAGTGCTTAGTAACTAGTATCTAGCAATGAAGCGATGCCAATTAAGTGACGAGTACCTAACAACGAGTGCTAACTGACGAGTCCATCGCTGAGAGTACCTAGCTGAGCTTGAGCAGTAACGAGGGCTAGGCAAGCAGTGAAAAGCAACGAGTTCGGAGCAGCGAGTACTTGACAAAGTTTGCCTGACAGCGAGAGCAAGGCTTGCCCAAACAACGAGTAGAAACTAACGAGTAAACCAACCAATAACTAATCGATATCTTCCTTTCTGTTTGCAGCTGCTGCAGGATATGGATCCAATGGAAATCTTGTCGTACCTGGATCCGCAGCCGGATTTGAACACGCCACCGTCCAGTGGCAGCAGCAATAACAACGCTAACGACGATTTGTTGGCCACGTTGTTCGATTGAAGTGTGCGCCAGTGTTGCACAACGCCTGTGGTTGTAGTTGACAAGTATGAGAGAAGCTTGATTGAGAAATTCCTTAACAGAGAAATGAAAACGAAAAAAATTAAAAATGAAATGGATTCAAACCATATTTGTATATAGTATTATTAATTTTAATGAATTGTGCGCTATAGCGAGACGCGTAATTCACCACAAAAACAAAACCAATTTCGTTTCCTCACACGCACACACACCTACACACACACACACACACACAACAACAACACAAAATCGAAGCAGCAAATGCAAAAATTTTGAATTTGCAGTGTTGAAAAACAATGAAATGTGATTTAAAAATTAATTAATTAAATTAATTGGCATTTAATTTAAAGCATAAAAGAAAACAACAACAACAAAGCACATAAAACAACAAACAGTCATTATACCGTTAAAACTAATTCAGTTTCAGAGCAAAAAGAGAAAAATTCCTTCAATGAAATTTACGAATTTAACTAAAAGGAAAAACTTTTATTTTAATATAATTTTTTTCTCATTTATTGAAGGGAAAATTTAGAAAAAGAAAACACGATGTGAGCAACATTTTCATTTACATTTTCCTATGTGAAATCTGTTTCTTGTTTATTGTACAAAGTATTAAAAAAAAGAATTAAAAATTACAAAAAAAAAAACAACAACAACAACAGTAAAAGATAAAAGGGAAACATGAGCAAGCAAAAACAAAAACATGAATTAAAAACAAAATCCCAACAATTTTATTACATTTATAAAATGAAAAACATTTACATTTTAATTGTTGCATAATTTTAATTATTTTTTAAAGCCTATAAAATCTAATGATTTAACATAAAAGTAAACTTAACGAAGAGAAATATAACAAATACAGCAACAGAAAATATTAATTGTAAAAATTAAAAAAAATTATAAATAATTATATATATTTTAAGGCAGTTTAGAGAGCGCAAACAAACTATTAAAAATTTAAATCAAATTTAATGCTAGAACTTAAATATAAATATAATTAAAATAAAATATAAAAACAACAACTTGTATATATCGGATTTGTATGTTATATGCGGCAACAACACAAACAAACAAAAGAAAAACAAACAAAAAAATTAATTAATACATATAAATAAAAAAATACATATATATATATACAACAAAAGAGTATTGTTTAAAAACAATTTGAGTTTTGTTTTATTTAATTTTTATTTTTAAGCTTTTAATTTATATAATTGCATTTTTTGGTTTTTTTTTTCAGTTTTTGCTGTGGTTAACATGGACCAATTTTTATACATATATATGTATATGTATATATAATAAATATATATATATATATATATATATATATATATTTATATATATATATATATATACACCCACACACCGAACGATTTTGGAGCAGCATAAACACAAAAAAATAAAGAAAATTATTACAATTATACATATATATACATATATTAAAATATAAAACGAAAAATAAGAGAAAAAATATAAAAAAATTAAGAATAGCAAAATTTTTAAGCGAATTAAATGCTTCTCGAGTCAACAAAAAGAAAATGCTTACAACAATTAATGCTAAACAAAATCTCGTCAATGTGTTAGTTAAATGAATCTCAACTTTTCTCAATGTTATATCAAAAACAAAACAAACCATATGCTAAATTATTATATAATGCTTATCGTACTCTTATTGACAAAAACCAAAAAGCGAAAAAACGAAAACCAAAAAAAAAGGAAAAAACAAAACCCCATAAGATATATAAACAAAAGAAAAACAAAAAAAAATCGTAGTGGTTTCATTGTAAAACAATATTTCATAAATTTACGAATAGCTTCGACAATTTTTCTCGCTTCTACAACAAAAAAAAAAAAAAAAAACAAAAACAAAACAAAACAAAAAATTGCAAAATGAAAATCTTAAGAAAACAAAAATACTTTAAAATCGAAAAACTCGGTCACTTTGTTGGCGCAGTGCATAGCTAGCAGCGTTGCCAGATCGTTGCGATGTGTGTTGTTTATGCGCTGCGAGAAAGTCAACGAAAGTTCATTGGAACCGGTTCGGGGTCAGTTTAAGGCCATGGAATATGCGCAAATGTGATTTTATTCAAAATAAAATACACATAAAACGAAACAAAAACAAACAAAAAATAAAAGATACATAATTACAATTAATGACATTTTTATTGAATCGGCATCGGCTGAGAGTGTGTGTGAATGGGCGAGTGTACATACGCGTATATACCTAACATAATATATAATGGATATATATATATAAATATATATATAAACATATGCGTATATATATATCTATATATATATTTAATGCTAGCGTTTAAGTTGTAATTTTAAATGATGAAACAAAAGCAAATACACAATTAAAGAATATGAAATTAAACGGGGCTTGCTTTCGATTCAAGTTTTCAGTTCCAACGACTCTTCTTGGCGCGCTTCACATCCAGATTGCTGCCGGAGCTAGCGCCCGCTGCTGGCGGCGGAGGGGGCGGTGCGGCAAAGACGCCCGTCTCCGGCACTGTTTGTTCCCAGGTGCGATCACTGGAAGCGCGAAATTGTGAGGAGTATTGCGAGCGAAAGGCTTGGCGCAATGCCGAATAGCGATCCGTGGCCGGACCGGCGCCAGACAGCGCCTTACTGGACTCGGCCAGGGGGCCTTTGGTTTTGGCAACCACGCCACCAGATGCACCAGCTCCTCCACTACCGCTGCCGCCGCCGGCCGCATTGCCTGAACGCTCACGATATCCCAGACCCATGAAATTGTTGACCGGTTTGCGTCCCTTGCCCTGCTTGAAGCGGGAGCTGCGAAACCAGGAGCTCTTCATGGCCAGCTCCATTAAATCGTCGGGCACCGTTTGGTCGGCACCCTCCAAATTTCGCACCAGATGCCCAGCAAACTCCTTGTCCTTGTCGGTGACCAAGGTGTAGGCATTGCCCTTCTCGCCCGCTCGACCCGTGCGTCCAATGCGATGCGTGTGTGTGTCGATGTCCCGGGCAATGTCGTAGTTGACCACGTTACGTATGTGGGGAATGTCGAGGCCACGGGCGGCCACATCGGTGGCCACCAGAATGTCGCATTCCTTGCGCTTGAACTGCATGATGACCTTGTTGCGGTCCGCTTGGTCCATGTCGCCGTGCAGGAGCAGGCAGTTGTGCTCCTTCACAAGCAGATTGTTGGCCACCGTCTCGGCGTCCGCCTTCTTGGTGACAAAGACTAGCACGGCGCCCTCGGAGAGGAACTTCACTAAATGGCAGAGCAGCCAGTTCCACTTCTGCAAGGGATTAGGAAAGACGTAAACATGCTGCGTAATGTCCTGGTTGGCCTCATTCAGATCACCCTGGACAATGCGCACTGGATCTGTGAGAATGTCACGAGCCAAGCGCTCGATGCGTTTCTTAAACGTGGCCGAGAAGAGCAGCGTCTGACGATCGGGACGCACATGGTTACAGATGGAGCGCACCTGCGGCTCGAAGCCCATGTGAAACATGCGATCCGCCTCGTCCAGCACGAGGAATGTGACTCGCCTCAAGTTGGTGGCCTTCATCTTAACCATATCTATCATGCGACCAGGTGTCGCCACCACAATCTCGCAGCCCTGCTCCAGCGCCTTGCTCTGCTCCCACTTGGAGCCGCCGCCATAGCAGCACACCACGTTTATGTTGTACACCTTGCCAAACTTTTTGGCTTCGTTGTAGATTTGCAGCGAGAGCTCGCGCGTGGGCGCCAGAATCAGCCCAATTGGTCCATCTCCCGGGCGCAGTTCCCGCTGATCCATGAGATGAGTGAGCAGCGGCCAGATGAACGCTGCCGTCTTGCCGGAGCCGGTCTTAGCAATGCCTATTATATCGCGTCCGGACAGAGCGGCGGGCACTGCCTGGGCTTGAATGGGCGTCGGCTGTGTGTACTCCGCCTTGCGTACGGCCTTCAGCAGCTGGTCATCGAACCCGAAGTGGCCGAAGGAGCTGACTGGTTTCGGGGGCAGGGCACCGCTCACCTTGACGCCCAGCGTGTGACGCAGCTCACGCACCTGCTCCTCGTCCAGCTGCGCGATGTCCTCGTGCGGGGTATAGAAATTGCGCTCGAAGGGTTCATATTCGATTTCTGAGTGATAAATGGGCGGCAGTGGATCGATGTCCTTCTTTTTGGGTGGGGCTATGGGATTGCCATCCTCATCGTACTCGATCTCCTGGTCAGAGCCCTCGTCGCGCAGGCCCGCATTGGGATTTTCTTCCATGTACCGGTAGTAGCTTTCCTCATCGTCCTCGTCGTCAATGTCACCGCGTACACCCTTCTTCTCCAGCGGCGCTATATTTGTCTTTTGTTGCGGATCTGTGGCACGTACTTTCTCTTTTTCAACCTGCTGATTGATGCCGGCCATGAATTGCTCCAGCGGATCCTCGTCAGACTCGGAGTCATCCTTAGCTGGCGTAGCCGCGCCCGGAGACCCAGGCGCTGGTATATACGCTTGCTCCGGCGGAGCTTTCTGCTGCGGCTCATCGTCGTCATCGAAGTAATCGTCGTCCATGTGTTGCTTACGCTTGCCCACGAAATTGGTGGAGTTTGTGTACTGGCTGATGGACTCCAGCGTTGAGTAGCCATGCTTGGATGTGCTGCCGGTTGTAGCGGCTCCAGCTGCGCCGCCTCTAGCCTGATTAAAGCTAAACCGAAATCCCCCGCCTCCACGATTGTTGCTTAATGCCGGCGGCGGCGGCACCGCACTCATATTATGGCCTGCGCTGGGCTGTTTCTTGTAGGGAAAGCCGCCGCCTCCGATGCCACGGTAGTTGCTCATGGCTGCAGTTGCTCTTAGTCTGCTCTTGCTCTTTTAAAATAAAGCAGAAATCAATACAACAAACGCGAGAATAGAATTTGCGATATGCGCATTGTTGCCAACCTAATCAGAGTTGTCGTTGCCCAGCACTAAGCCAAACAGGGCTCAGAGAGGTGCTGACGATTAATCGGCGATAGTTTGCGTGATTGAATTGTGCCAAACTATATTACTTTCGTTGTACAACAAGAAACTGTTTGGTTTACGATTGTTTACTATCGTAAATTTGGCATATAACAAGTAATGGGATGATAACAATATATTATATCGTAATTTTTAAACTATTATGTGTCTAGTGCTGTGAAATGTTATTTGCTCTCGATTAGTCAGTTATCGATTTTCGTTTTGTTGATATTTTGTCTGTTGGCAGCAACAGATGATAAGGAAAAATGGTTGAACAAACGGCGAGAGATTATGCTCAAATTATACAAAGTGCCGATCTGGAAAAGGAGGCATGTAGTCACATCTAAAACAATGGTTACAATTAGTAATTACACTCCTTTATTAATTGTTAGATAAACCCCCTGTGCAACAACATAGACGACATGCTCGCACGATTAGACGAATTCGAAACGGTTTTGGCCTCCGTAAGTATAATTGAAATACATTTGTTAAATAGCGTAACACAAATATTAATGTGTATTAGGTACGCGCAGAGTCTAATGGCATCATGGCCAACCACGTATGTAGCATACTCGGCTTTATCGAAAACTTCGATGAATTGCGTCGGCGAATCGATAGCTTGGATACGTTTGTAGCCACGGTAAATGAGAATCTGAACGAAGTGGAAAGATCTGTGGACGTGGCTGAGCAGGAGCTTAATGTAACCGACTACAGTATAAAGGGTTTGCTATTGAAACCTTTGAAGGCCAGGCTATCCACCGCAGACACAACTGATACAAAGCCGAAAACCAATTTGGTTAATGGCGAGTTTCAACCGGTTCCCATCTTCAAAGCTGACGAATACTTTGGCATTAGGACAGATGAAACTAATATTAGCGACTCCATATAACCTTTAAGTAGTTGTTTAGTTATTAATTAGCAAATGGGCTTTGTGAGTGTGTAAATATTATCGTTTATTTTTATTTATTTTTTATTACTCGCGATTTGTTTTCTTTCGCTCGTAACACGACGAACCAATTAGCAGGTTTACAGATAAATCAACGAATCCAGTTGAGATTGTGACTTAGGCCTTGCTCTCCTTGTTCTCCTTGCTTTCGTTGCTTTGCTTACTTTCGTTGTTCTGCTTGCTTTCGTTGCTCTGCTGGCTTTCTGCGGAGCTGGCAGCGGGCTGGGTCTTGGGCTTATTGAAGAGCTCTGCGACGGGCACTGGATGGTGACGCAGTGGACTATGTGGCTTGACTTCGGCAGCTTCGGGCACGTGGGCATTCAAATCCTCTACCTGGGGTTTCTCCTCTTTCTCTTCCTTGGGGGCGCTTGTAGTCTTTACATGTGTGGGCACGGGTATGTCACGGGCATGGCGTGCGTTCTTCTGTGGCTCATTATGGGCAATTAGGACTTCGGGCACAGCTGGGACATCAGCGCGATTGGATTTACCATCGTGCTGCAGTAATTCATAAGCCACGACGCTATCGGGTTTCGCCGGAGCTTCGCGCTTCTGCTTCGTGGGATTGTGTTGCAGAGACACGGGGGCCCCAACGCTGGGCAGTTTCTCTGGCTGGACTTGGGGTTTGTGCTGGAGGCTTTCGAGAGTCTGGACATAATGCGGCTTTTCAACAGCATCATCACGCTTTTGGCGATGCTTGGCCTCATAATCTTGGCGCCGTAGCACCAGCTTCGTGGGTGGCTTGGGATCGCTCAGCACAGCTGGATTAATGGGACTGGGTCGTTCCAGTTCGTCTTTCTTTTGGGCTTCAATCGACGTTGGAGCCGCAGAGCAAACGGCGCACAAGGCCACAAAAATCAACTGTAAAAATAGTCAATTTAATGGACTTAGAAATTTAAAATATTAATGCTATTGGAGGAAATCGCTCGTGCGACTTACGAATTTCTTCATTGCTCCGAACGGTAGAAAAGTTAGTTGCCAACTGTGGGAGTTACTACATTGTTCGGTGCATTATATTGATGCGGATCTCTCCAGACGGGAGCGGTAGTGCGATGTTTGACGAAGCTGTTAACTAGTTCGTAAGCTGGTGATAATTGCCAGCGAGTTTCTATATCAATATTATTGTATGTGTTTATACATACACAATATTTTTCCTCATTGATACTAAAAATGATAGAGCGGGATAATTATAAACTAAAAAAAATCACCGTAGCATCTATTGACACACATATGTATGTATGTACATTCAAGCTGCTACTTCTATATACTATATATATAGACTTTCCGGATTTCAATGCGAATCAAATGTGGCTCAAGGCGGAGCTCTAGTCAGGTGGAGATAATATGATTAATGGATATATACATTTCTATATACATACTGTGTGTACTGATAATAGCCAGGTAGTGGCATCTTGGGACCCGACATATATTAGTCATCTATATTTAGCACCTTGTTGCGAAAAAGTTGAGCACAACTATATGTTTGTCTAGAAATGGGTGCAAATACTCGGAAAGGTTAATTTAAATGCACATAAATATAATTGCTAAATCTTTGTTTTTAATTACAGTGCTTTACGTAAGACGACACTTTGCGTAAATTAAAAATCTTTTCTGGTAACTGTGCGCTAGTAAACATGACAGTTAATATTAATTGCTACAGTGCAATTTAAATACGGATAAATTATCAATTCAAATTGACAATCGTTCTAGTTGGCCAGTGTGTGCCCGCATTATTTGAACATAAATATTCTCTGGCAAAATGAGTTTATTACGCTCTTTGCCGACGTGTACACATTGCTCGCTAGCATTGTGTAAATTTGTAGTTGAATAAACAATAGTAGTTAAGTAAATTAGCAGTGAATAATAGCAATAATGCCAACGGAAATTGAGAATATAAATCCAAGCGTCTATGGCAAGATTAAGGAGCGCCTGGTGACAGCCAACGAAGAGAACGAAAGCGTTGTCGACCCTTTTGACAAGCGTGAAATCTTTGGTAAGCAAATCAAAAATTAACTTAAATGATTCTTACTAACTAATTTTTATCATTGCAGATCTTATACGAAACATCAATGATCCAGAGCATCCGCTAACGCTGGAAGAGCTCCACGTTGTACAAGAGGAGCTCATAAGCATCAGCGACAAACAGAATTCAGTGCACATCAACTTTACGCCCACTATTCCGCATTGTTCGATGGCCACGTTAATTGGCCTCTCCATACGAGTGAAGCTTTTGAGATCTCTGCCTCCACGCTTCAAAGTTACCGTCGAGATAACGCCGGGCACGCATGCCTCCGAGTTCGCTGTGAACAAGCAGCTAGCAGATAAGGAACGGGTAGCTGCGGCACTGGAGAACAAACATCTGGCCGAAGTCATTAATCAATGTATTTCGGCCAAGGGGTAACCCATTTCTGTGTTGTTTCTTTTTAATAGAAAATATATTATATTTTAGAATATACATGTGCTTTAAGTTTTGATGGAACTACTATATCTAAAATTAACAACGAGCGGTACAGTCGACAGGACCACAGCTAGTGCTTGGAGGTAGACTTTATGTTGCTCGTGAACTGTGATTCGGACTTAAGAGGATTGGGATTTGTATTAACTGGGGTTGAATGCGGTTTGGTGGGATCGTACTTGTAAGTCTTCACTAGCGGACCTTTCCCAGCCTTGGCAAAGCGTATTTCATCCAATTGCTGTCGCTCCTCGATCTCTTTGGTTATCTTCATATTATCCCAGGCTGCAAGAATACAATTTTTATTTTATTGAGACTCACTTTTGGCTAGCAATTCAACTTACATTCCTTCATGCCTCCCACAAAGCCCTTTTTCTTGGCTATCAGTGCACTGGGTGGGTGGGACAGCATTTTCTCAATTTTGAAGTAATCCCGTACCGCCGGAATACGCAGTAGAGCCACTTGGCCGAGGGAGATGAAATTGCTGCAGGCCCAGTAGGTAAGAATGGCGGCGGGGAAGTTCATGGTGAATGGAAATATGACAATAGGCAAAGCGCGTAGCACGTACTTCATGGTGCTCATATTTGCAGCCGACAGACGAGCGCTATCTGTGCCTAGCTCAATGGTCAGGTAGAGCGTGGCACTGGTTATAACCGGCAGCAGATATAAAGGATCGGCCAGAGTGAGATCGGTAAACCAGAAGAGGCCTCCGTCCCGCATCGACTCGACTGGTGTATTGGCCATCTGACGCAGACCCATGAAGAAGGAGATGAAGAGAGGAGCTTGAGCCAATGGCACAATCATGTTCTTAAGAGGATTAACGCCCTTTTCTCGCATGAACAGCATCATTTCCTGGGCGTAGCGGGCCGATTCGATGGCATTACCCGATTGCCGAGCTTCTGTCATCTTTAGCTGTAGCACCTGCATCTGTGGCATGTTGTTGCTCATTTTGGCGGAGTTGCGCTGTGCCAGGATGACCAGAGGAAAGATTAATGTGCGAACGACGAGCGTACCTATGGCAATGGTGCCCCACCAGGGAATATCCCATGTACAGTGCAAAAATTCCATACAATTCTGCACCATTCCTGGTGGTGACCAACCGCCTAAGCCAATGGAAGCAAATGAAGGCTCGCCGTTGCCCACAAAGTTGCTTGAGATTGCAGATATCTCAGTAGGTGGCGCAATAGGTGCATCCGGTATGGCAGGCAGGTCCACCAGTTCCTTGGTGGGAACCGACTCAACAGGTATTTCCTTCTTTGAGCTTGCAAAGCGTATTATACCGGGTCCCGGAGCATTTAATGGGATCAGTGGTGCGGCTATCATACGCTTGTTTAGCTGGTTGGTCCAACTGCTGCTCAGGTGCAAATCGCGATTACTGCCACCTGAGAACATCTGCAAAGGTTCCTCTATACAATATATATGGACATTCATTTTCATTTCATTCATAACAAACCGCTCTTTACAGGTTATGTCATACGCAACTCGCGGGGCGATAACCGCCGGCTGCTATTCCTGCTTACCTGTATGGAAGTTCTGGTGGCTGTCGAGTTCAGCGTGAATACCGCTTGGGTTGATCTCCATAGTTGCAATCGTTTGGCCAGCATCTTGTAATTTTATTTGAACTTATAAATTTCTAAAAAATTTACGCATTTGCGTTTTGACGAGCAGAAAGGGATAGCAATTTCGTTCACTCACAGATGGCCAGTGGAGAACATATGTTGTGCTAGGGATGGATAATAAATATTAATCTGGGGTTTTTTTTTGGTTACTCGAACTTCTGACTACAATTTTGAAACGATAGAAAATATTTTGATGGGTTAAAACTGTTTTCGTAAAGATTTATAACAAGCAAGCTGGCTCAAATCTTTGGCTATTTAATCAGTATTATTTGCAGTAGAAATATATCCAAAGAAAATAGTGCTAAAAAATACCATTAATACCGTAAAACGGAAACAGTTACTTCTGTTACGATTGCAATTCAAAAAGTTTCACAAATAGTTTTCGCTGTAACAAAAAAAAACATATGTTTGTATGTTTAGAAAATATATAACTAGTGAAACGTGAAATAATCATTGATTTGATAATCCCAATGCAACATATATAATTCAAAATATAATAGTTATTTTCAATGTTTAACATTAAAATGTAGAATATATATATTATTATAAATTATTTTTTAAAAGTAAATATGACAAATGAAGTACGCTAATGACTAAAGAACAGGTACAGAAATAAGCACACAAAAATGCAAGTAGGTTATTTGTTAATATAAATATATCAAAATTAATCATACGCAGCGGATAACCGAACGCACTTAAAGAGAGCGCCGCTGCTGGAGCGACAGTTAAGCTATCGCGCTCTTCGCGATCGTCAGCCACGCGCTGTCGGCGTCTCTCTTAACTTCAGTCGTTTGTCGATGTTCGAAGCGAGCAGTTGTGGTGCGCACGCGTAGCTCTTGCACACACAAATCGGGGAAGAAACATAGACAGCAAGAAGAAGACAAGCACACTGAGCGGCCGACGGGTAAATTTGAAATTCTGTCAGTTTTCAGTTGATCGCGAGCGCTCCAGCGAATCGGTTACGTTCAAAATTAATAAAGTTGCAATTTGATTGCATTGCAATTTGTTTTGGTTTTTTCTTGGCTGTTTTTTTGGCTGCCGCTGTAATCGCTGGTGCAGCCAGCAAAAGTTCTTTGCGCAGTTGACGCGGACGCTGCTGCTGCACTGCTGCTGCCGTCGTCGCCTGTCGCAGTTGCATTTTCAATAAACGCGTTTTCTTTTGGCACGTTGCGTGGGCGCCCCCTGCCATGCGCCTGTCTGCCACGCGGAGTTCGTGTGTGTGCGCGCGCGTTTGTGTGTTTGTGTGGATTAGTTAATGTGTTTGTGTTGCTAATTAAACAACAACAACAACAACAGCAGCAACTGCAATAACAACAACATATAGAAACCAGAAACGATAACTTTGACGCAAGCCAAACAAAGTGCTATCGATAAATGCAATTAAGCTCATTCACAAATTGGAGCAGCAACCACAACAACAACAACAGCAACAGTAACAACAAACACAAGTGCAACAGGTGTTGGGCTGCCTGGTTAAATACAATTTTTGTTTTGTCTTGTGTGGCAAGTAAGTTTCCTTTTTGATTATTATTATTTTGTGTTTAATTGGAAAAATATTATTGTTTGCCTTCTTATTAGCGCTCAGCATCTGCTTGCATAAGTTGCCAGTTGAAATAATATTTATTGCCTCTGCGACGCGTTCCAACTAGATCAATTACGCGGAACAGTAATAATTCCGATAAGAACTCTACTGCTGCTATCCCTTTCGCACCAACAGTGCAAGTGCAGCTCATTAAATGCTTAAAATATTACAAGCAACTTGCCTTTTGAGCGCAGTGGGCGAAGGCGGGTGGGGCAGATTATGTGGAGCATGGAGAAAATGAATATTCTTATCAATTGGAAAACCAATTTCTATAAATGTATCATAAAATCTTTAATTTAACTTAAAAGCCACGCGAGTTACGTTGCTTTAATGACCCATTTCTATAGATTTATGATACGAGATTGCTTTTTATTTAGAGCACTTAGAATTGTTAGCTATAATTAGCATACAATCGCCACTGTGATTGTCTGCTCTCAGCGCGAATCCGCTTTAATCACTAGACAAACAATTAATTAACGTGCTGTTGGGCAAACATAATTCCTACTCGAGGTTCCATTTCTCAAGATCAGAGATTCACCTTTGGACTGTTCTTGATACGCAACGCCCCGCGGCGGCATTAGATAGCTGTGATATTTAACTTTTAGATCTTTGCCGATACAAATCAGAATCGACAACGACAACAACAATAGCAGGTGGGGCGGCTACCTGGTTTGGCAATTCTGAGAAGTGCTTATGCTTAAGTTTATGATATATCAGAGCCCGAGCTCCAGACAAAACTTCTTACGGCTTCTGCCCCTGGGGCGGCTTAAGTCCAATTGATTTCAGGCTTTTTGCAACACTTTTTGCCTCTACTTCTTCTTCTCATTCGTCTTCTTCTGCCTTTTCTTTTTCTTTTGGCAAACAATTTGAAGTGTCAATTTGTGTTTAAAAAACTAAAATTATTTATCAAGCAAAGCAAATCAAGTGGGCAGCGTAAACAGTTAACAAAAAACGCAGGCTTATACATGTATATATAAAATTTATATATATAATATAAATATATGTATATATATGTGTGTATGTATATATGTGTGTGTTTGTAAGGCAAATACTGCGTCCAAACGCGAGCAAAAGCACAAATAGTTATTTCTGACTTGGCCGCAAAGTCAATTGCCAAATATGGCGCACTTGTTTGTGTGTGGCTTAATGTCACACACACACACACTCAGACACACGCAAACACACTCAGCTGCACAAGTTTAAACTCTCTGTCAATATCTAAGTTTTTGAAAAAGGAAATTCAACTACTTGTTTCGCCAAAAAGACAGCAGCAAATAGTCACCAGCTTCGATAAATACTCACAGATATATATATAAAAAAAAAAATATATATATATATATATATATATATATATATATATATACATCTATTTCCATACCCTGGCTTTACATGTCTTAGTTTGGTATATTGCGTTAGTTCATGCAGTGGGAGATGTTATCGATCCTCTGAGAGCAAAATATATGTTATCGATCGGTGTTAAGTCAAGGCATTCTAGTCCTAAACATCTGTCTGTCTGTCATATTCATCGCTCTGGAACAGCAGTTTCTGTCTGTTAACCTTTAGGCTTCTATATATCCTTCTATAGCAAGCCTTGACTCTAGTTTGCTGTTAAAGTTCTTCATATAAACATAACTTAATAAATTTGAGTCTTAGACATGCATAATCCTTAACTAAATAACAAATGCTTCAGCTTTAGCTTGATTTTACTGTAAATACAGGGTATCTCTTAGTAGTTCTCTCCTGCTCGTTTCACTTGTTGCTTGTATAAATATTGTGATTTGCACGCATAAAATTATTTGCCAATTGTTGTCAAAGAAAATGTATCTATAGCTCAGACTCCGCTCCACTCTGCCTGCAAGTGGCTCTCAGAAGTTGGCTTAACTATTTGAAGAAACGCGTCACAAATGTTTTTTGTTTAATTTCAATTTACAAATCGCTGACGAATTCATCCGAATCGTTGACTAATTCAAACGCGCTTGACGCTGTAGCAGAATGCCAAAGCTCAATGAGGTTGCTAGTCAAACGATTAATAACTATATGAAACTGAAGGAAAAGTATTTTATTCATACATATTTATACTCATATATATATGTAAACTTTATGATTTAACAGACTTGAAAATGGATTTTTCTTTATGTAAAACGAAATGTGTTTGAAACTCTTTTCTTTTTTTAACTCAATATTTAACATACTTGAGAGCTTTTTTTCTATTCGCTGTAATTTAACGGATTTGTTGACTATAAAGTAATAGATCTTATGTGTACAGTTGTGTATTAAAAAAGTTAGTTTCCAAATGACACTTCATTAAAACAAAGTTTTCCCAATTCAAATATGTCAAACAGCAAAAAATTTGGACAAGTGTTTAATGAATCAACTGGTCAATGAATCACAAGACATCAATTGTCAACGTTTGACAGGTTTCACTGTACACTGTACACATGGCGATGTGCTATAGTTTTGGTATATACTTTTTTTTATACCCTGTAAAGTGTAACGGGGTCTATTGTTGAGGTGCTTATGCCTTGCTGTCTGAGACAAAATATTAAAGATTATATTTTAAGCTAATTAAAATGTAGTTGTAGAAATAGAGCAGTTGAGTGAAATATTAGGAAAATATTAACAGTAAGAAAAATTCATTTAGCTTATATAAAGTCATATGAATTAAATATTAAGACTAAGTTTGAGTCGGTTTAGCAAGTGGAGCAAGTGCTTACAAGTCGTCATTCGTGTTTATTTATACCCAGAAGTTTTGTGTTGGGTATCTTTCAGTCTGGCATTGCGCACTGTTTCTCATTTATAACTTCATTTCAATATACTTTGCACTTGCTGCTGGCAGTATGCCCTGTGGCTTGCATACGACTGTCGCGTTTTTCTTTGTTTTACGTCAACAAACCAAATCGAGTAGACGACTTAAAAAGAAAAACAACAAAAACTGCAACAACAATTACTAATAAAATAGCTGGAACGCGTAATACGCTGGCCAACCTACAGAGACGTCGACGTTGGCGACGTTCTTTTCATTGGCAGCAGCAGCTGCTGCTGCTTAGAAACTAACCACACAGCAGCGACAATCAGCAATAGCAACAGCAACAAGCAACCAACACAAATGCAGCATCTCAGTCGCTGTCGCTGTCGCAGTCGCAGTCGCAGTCGCAGTCGCAGCCACAGTCGCTGCCTCTGCCAGAAGCCCAGCCGCTTATTTAATATGCAAATGAGCGCATAAAAGCAATTCATTGCAGGGGCAGGGCGCAGAGTGGGAGAGAGAGAGAGGGAGGGGCGTAAGGGGCTCTTTTATTTGTTAAACAATAAATAAAAATGGCAAATGCAAAAAATATAAATATATATATATAGACATAGCTGCAAGGTGGCTTAAGTATATAATTGTTATTCAGCTGCTGCTGAGGAGGATGCGCTCTTGGCAACTAAGTTGTTAGCAAAGTTTGCAGTGCTTTTGTTTTTGCTCTGCGCCCACGCTGGAATGATTGGCTGTGGCAATACAAGCGATAATTATGCGAGCGCATATGCGGCGTATGAGTAATTTTTGTGCATGCAATTAGACGTTAGCGCCGACTGCGACGCCGACTGCGGCGTGTGTTGAAGTGTGCAAATTGCAA